GGAAGCCAGGGGTGGTTTGATCTGCTCAGTTTATGAATCTAATCTCTACATGGTGACAGGATCCTGGTCAGGCCCAGAATCTGAGGCAACTGGAAGATGTCAAGAGGGTATGTACAACCTGAACGGCCGTGCCCTCATCATTGTCTTCTACTCATCAGTGTGTTGTGTGTCCCCCATAAGCTTTAGTTGAGGTGTTGTGTCTATAGGTCATGTGTCATCACGCTCTTGTCATGGCAGCCTTGGATGCGTCACCTTTGCTCTTACTGTTCCTATTTCTGAGGTTGTGTCCATCTAGTAAGTCCCTCACATCCGCCTGGAAGATTCACACGTCATCCACCATCTTTAGGTTGTAATGTTTTGTCTTGCATCGTTCTTGTTGCAGGGGGAAGCGCTCCGGGTCATTCTGGTGAACCGATATTATGGGACCGTGAAGCAAGGTGGAAGAAGGGAGAGCCTCACCAGCTTCGCGAATGGATCGTTAACTGGAGGTGGCGGTGTAAAGTCTGGTGGTGGAGGCAAGTCCCCCTTTTTTTCTTTTTGGGGTGTTGGTCAGAGTAGCTGTATGCTAAATTCTGGGCTTCACAACTATTGTCCTAATATAAGAACCTTGTGTAGTATTCCTTTTAATATTGTCGTCCTTAGTGTGATTCTTCCAAACATATCCAGTAATCCAGCACTTTGCTTCTATGCAGGAGTTTCCTGTAACAGATGGACATGTGCGATTCGTTTCGTTACGAATCGAAATTCGTACGAATTTTCCTGAAGTTCCGAATTTCGGAGCATCGAATTATATCCGAAATACGAAATTCCGTTAACGAATTTCGGATCCGAATTTCTTTGAAACAGGAACTAATAGTACCCCTGTAAATGAGGTTGAACAACATGACAAGATTTTTTTTTAATCCGAGATACGGATCCGCTGCTGCTGATGCATTACAATACACAGGCAGGAAATACGAAATTCTGTTGACGTATTTTCGTTCCGTTACGAACATTCGTTATATTGAAGGTAAAAAGCAAAGTACATTTATATTGGAGTTGATGGTAGTTTTTTTTAAAGTCCGAAATACGGAATTCGGATCCGGAATCCGTTAACTGAATTCGTATTTCGTTTTGGTTGACCAATCAGAGGTTCTCTTCTGCTGCGGAGAGTTGCATTACAAATACAGGCAGGAAATACGAAAATTCCGTTACGGACATTCGTTATATTGAGGTTAAAAAGCAAAATACCTTTGTTAATATATTGGAGTTGATGGGTTTTTTTTTAATACGAAATTCGGATTCGGAATTCGTTAACGGAATTCGTATTTCGGATAAAAAAAAACAACTACCACATCGACTCCAATATTAACAAAGGTATTTTGCTTTTTAACTTCATCATAACGAATGTTCGTAAA